GTTGGAGGAAACACTTGAATGAGCCACAGACCGTTATGTTTTCAAGGACAAGATTGTGAATTTATTAAGCCAATTTGATGCTGACTTGCTCATTTGAAAGCGGTGACTATGTGCCAGAATCTGATTACCACACTCACAGCTGGAAAAAATGAAGGTATGGATGGGGAATGAGAACCGGTGATGAAGGGAGGAAACTGTGAGTAGGGGAAGAAAGTAAAGGCAGGAGCAATGAAACGAACGACAGCTCAGCCTCAGGTCTAACTGGCCGTCAGGATGCATGAGAAGCTGGTGGTCAAAACTAGTGAAGGAAACTGGTGTGACAGGTGAATCTGCCTGATGATTAGGTGCGACTATGGGCGTCCTAGATGGATCTTATTTAATGGTTTTATTGCTCACTTTTTGAAACCAAAATAGAAGACATCCAAAAAAACAAACAAACAGATCTATTAGATCAAATAATACTTTTTAATACTTGTATCTTTGTGTCTTGTTTTTAAATGTACATTCTGCCGTTGTCCTCTGGGTGTTATTTTTCTCAGTAACTGGAAACATTAAGTTGGTGTGTCTGGGTAATATATTCATAACATCTGAACCTAAACACTTGTTTTGTTTTGTTTTTTGTAATCTAATGCAGTTTGTGAAAAATCCCCCCCCAGGGATTAGGGTTATTTTATTATGTTCCAATACATTTCGAGAAGACAGAAGGAATAGATTGGAATAGCAATAAAGGGAGTTCACTGATAGAAGAATTGTGTCATCTCACTGGAAATAAACTGCCGAGACTGGCATTATGCAACCATATTCAGAGTGCATGTTTTCAACATATTGCATCATGCTTACAGGATAAAGGCAGCAGAATCAACAGGTTTTTAAAATAACATGTACATGACAATTCTTAGGAATTGGGAAAAATCATGTCTGTGGTGGAAAACCTACAAATTATTGTTATACTTTTAAAAAATTGATTTGATGAGCACAGCAACTGGAAAGAACAGCGATGATGAGTCTGTTCATGTCATTCTGAAGAACAATAAATGTTTTCTGACTTTCTTCTCTCTCTCTCTGATTTTGTCCTCCAGAAGAAAATGACGAGGAAATCGCACACCAGAAGAGTTCTGACTCCACTGTGTACAGAGATGAAGGTAGGAAACACACTGCTGGCTCCCCCAGGATCGTCAACACAACAGACAGTGGATCAGGAGAGAAAAAAGGGTGATTTTAGAAGCTCATCTGCAGAATTGTCCC